GGCCTCCGAGCCTTGCATGAAGGATGCAGAAGAGATATTTAACCGAATAACTATTTATTTGATTATTTATGATTGTTTGATTTTATTATTATATTTTTTTACTACTTTATTTTATTTTTTACTTTATTTTATTTTTTACTTTATTTTATTTTAATTTTATTAATTATTTGATTATTTAAGAAATAAGGAACAACTTTCTGACAGTGAGAGCAATCAACCCATGGAACAGAAGTTGCCTTCAGAAGTTGTGGGAGCTTCATCCCTGGAGGCTTTCAAGAAGAGGCTGGGCTGCCATCTGTCAGAAATGGTGTAGGTTCTCTTGCTTGGGCAGGGGGGGTTGGACTAGATGACCTCCAAGGTCCCTTCCAACTCTTGTATTCTATATTTAATGGAACAGAAGTTGCCTTCAGAAGTTGTGGGAGCTCCATCAATGGAGGCTTTCAAGAAGAGAGTGGACTGCCCTCTGTCAGAAATGGCGTAGAGTCTCCTGCTTGGGTGGGTTGGACTAGATGACCTACAACATTGCCACCCTGAGTCCTTGGGGGAAGAGCGGCATATAAATCTAATATATAAATCTAATAAACCAATCCCTTCTAACTGTTATTCTATATTCAATGGAACAGAAGTTGTGGGAGCTCCATCAATGGAGGCTTTCAAGAGTGGACTGTCAGAAATGGCTGCTTTGAGCATGGAGTTGGACTAGAAGACCTACAAGGTCCCTTCCAGCTCTACATTGCTAGATTGATTCAACCTACAAATAAGGAGGAATTTCCTGACAGTGAGAACAATCCACCCATGGAACAGAAATTATGGGAGTTTCATTGCTGGAAGCTTTCAAGAAGAGACTAGACTGCCCTCTTGTCAGAAATGGTGTCTCCTGCTTGGGCGGGGGTGGGTGGGGGTGTTGGACTCAATGACCTACAGGGTCCCTTCCAAATCTGTTCATCTGTTAAATACAAATAGTTGGGAATTTGTAAAATGGCGGATGTGGGTCGTTTTTAAGTCAGCGATAGTAACCGTTGCCTTCGGACGTTGTGGATGCTTCATCACTAACAAAAGAGAGAAGCAACTTGGAATGAAGGGGAAACTTCCTGGCAGTTCGAAAGCACGTTAAAAAATGCAAGTAGAGAAATAGGAACCACCTTTGGTGGGAAGGGAACAGCATTCCGTGCACCTTCGGCGTTGAGTCATGCCAGCCACATGACCACGGAGACATCTTCGGACAGCGCTGGCTCTTTGGCTTTGAAACGGAAATGAGCACTGCCCCCTAGAGTCGGGAACGACTGGCACAGATGTGCGAGGGGAACCTTTACCTTTTCAGCTGGAAAGCTTTTAAGCAGTTCAGGGAGCGACCTCCAAGGCATCTTCTAGTTTCAAAACCACACAAGTCCAGTGAGCCAGAAGCAAACTTTATTCCCATTACAAATCAAACAGCAAATTTGGCATACACGCATACAGAAAGCAGCCGCGAACAAGATTGCCAAAGCTCTCAATGTCAGAATTGGAGCTTTTTAGCCAAGTGAATGCTTTTCCACCCCACCCACCAAAACTGGACAGTACAACCCGTGTTACAGACACAATTTTGCTTACGGAGGCCTGGAGTCAAGAGAAAGTGTCTTTTACAACATACCAATCGAACAGGGCCTCCTGTTATGATGACACGAAAGCACACCGAACAGCAGGCACATACATTTACAAAAAGCCAAGCCGTCATAATAAAACAGCCTTCTCCAAATGCCACTTCTCTTTGATCATGACATTTGCCTCTGGCATTTCAGGGAAAGCATGCAATCAATGAGCTCCCCTCCCACAATTAATGCCTGTATTTTATATCTCAGGTTGTTGTTGTTTTTCCTTGAAAATGAGTACCCCTGCAACTGCAGTTGATCTAGCTCCCTGATGGCGAACCGATGGCATGCATGGCAGAGGTGGCATGCGGGCATGCGCGCCATTGCCAGCTCCTCTTCTGGTTTCCGCCATGCCCATGCATGCCAGGCAGCTGATCTTTTTAAGTGCTGGAGCACCGGAAAACAGATTGAAACAGGCCCGAAAAACAGCCTGAAAATGGCCAAGAAACACACCATTTTCCGAGGCATTTTGGGGGGGCGTTCTGCAGGCCATTTTTGGCCTGCAAAACAGCCCCCTAAAAACAGGCATGCGCGCACTGGCCAGGCTGGTCTTTGGGTTTCTGGACGCACATTCCAGTTTGGCCATTCAGTGCCAAAAAGGCTCACCATCACTGCTCTAGCTTGTTTGCATTATCACAAATATATATACAGTGGGGCAAAAAAGTATTTAGTCTGCCCAGCCTGGTGCAGGTCTACAATTTTGTTTCTGGTGTCCTTGGACAGCTCTTTGGTCTTCACCACAGTGGAGTTTGGAGTGTGATTGTTTGATGTTGTGGACAGGTGTCTTT